CCACACCCTCCTGAGGCTCAAGGAGAGACTCCTCCTGCTTCTTCTGGGTGATGGTGGCTGCTGGCTCCCTTAATCTGTGGTGTCACTGTTCCACTCAGTGTTTCTCTGGTCATGTCGCCTCATGCTACTCTGTGTGTAGCAGGTCACCCTCTGCTTCCCCTTTAGAAGGACACTGTGATAGGTTTAGGGCCCAACCCAGATAATCTAGGATGATCTCCAAGTCCATATCTCTAACTTCATCACATCTGCAAAGACCCTGTTTCCTTGTAAGGTAACATCTACAGGTTTCAGGGATTAAGACAGAGGTTACTTTGGGGACATTGTTCAGTCCACAGCACTGATCAAGTGATTTTTGCACCCCTAAATGCCTCCATTAGTCCCCAGACTTCCTCTACTTTGTTCCTCCATGACCTGATACACTAGTGGGTCACCACAGGCATGGCACACATCTTGGGGACCAGGCACCTGCTGTTCTGTAAAAGCCACTCTTAACAGAGCTAAAAGAGAAGTGGCAGACAGAGAGAAAATACCTACAAATATATATCTGATGAATGAGTTGTATCCAGTATATACCAAGGACTCTCAAAACCAAACAATGAGTAAACAAACGAAACCTAACTGTGTAAAAAAATAGAAACGAAACAACCCTGTTTACAAATTGACAAAGGATTTGAATAGATTTTTTTCACAAAGTATACAAATGACCACTAAGTGCATGAAAAGATGGTCAAAATCCAATATCAGCCAAATGCAGATTACAACCACACAGTGATGGTATCATAAAAAACAACGCAAAACAAAACCCAGGAAATCACAAGTGTTGGCAAGGAGGCAGAGATTGTGGAAGTCCTGTGTTTTACTCTTGAGATTATAAAGGGTGCATTGGCTGTGTAATTCAGTGTGGCAGTTCCTCAAAAAATTAAAAATTGAGGGGCGCCTGGGTGGCTCAGTCGGTTAAGCGTCCAACTTCAGCTCAGGTCACCATCTCGCGGTCCATGAGTTCGAGCCCCGCGTCGGGCTCTGGGCTGATGGCTCAGAGCCTGGAGCCTGCTTCCGATTCTGTGTCTCCCTCTCTCTCTGCCCCTCCCCCGTTCATGCTCTGTCTCCCTCTGTCCCAAAAATAAATAAACGTTAAAAAAAATAAAAAAAAAAATTGAATTACCATAGGAGATAGGAACCTCATGTCTGAGTATATACACAAAAGCTCAAAATCAGGAATTGAATAGATATTTCTACATCCGTGTTCATAGCAGCATGATTCATGACAGTGAAAACGGCAGAAACAACCCAAGGGTCTAACAACAGATAAACACAAAAACAAAAGGTGGAATATTACACAGTCTTAAAAAGAATGAACGTTTGACACATTCTACAATGTGGATTGAGGACATTACTGTGAGTGAAATAAGCTAGTCACAAAAGGACAAATACTGTATGATTCCATTACCCCAAGTATCTAGAGAGCTCAAGTTTACAGACAGAAAATACAATGATGGCTGTGAAGGTCAAGAGATGGGTGGGGGAATGGAGGCTTATTAATTTAACAGGCACAAAATGTCACATTGGGATGATGGAAAAGGTTGTAGAGATGGATGGTGGTGGTCGCCCTACAATGCCACTGACCTAAAGAATTAAAATGGTTAAAAGGGTAGAGGTTCTGTTATGCATATTTTGCTTCAGTAAAAACAAAGCAGCCAAAGATTCGATCAACCACTTCACCAAAGAAGGAAAAAGAATGGAGAATGAGCACATGAAAACATGCCCAGCATCACCTGTCCTTAGGAAATCACAGATTAGAACCAGGATGAGATACCAGTGCACTCCCCTTACAAAGGCTAAAGAATCCAAATGAAAATAAGAGAAAAATCCTGGTAATATCCAATATGAAAGAGAGTGTGGAGCAACCAGGACCCACCACACACATTGCTGGTGGAAACACCAAATGGTACAGCCACTGTGGAGAACAGTTTGGCAATCGTGTCTCAGTCAAACCTACACCAAATGTGGGACTGAGGACCTAATGCCTAGATATTTACCCAGGAGAAACAAAAACACGTTCCCACAAAACCTGCATGTGAATGTTGACAGTTATTTTATTCATAGTCACCCCAAAACAGAAAACAACCCCAATGGTCTCCCAGGGGTTAGTGTATGCAAGATTGTACAAATTATTAGCATACATACTCAACAATATGGAGGACCTTCTAATGCATTAGGCCAAATGAATGAAGCCAGACTCTTGCATGATTCCGTTTCTATGACATTCTGTAAACAGCAAAATAAGAGGAATGGAGAACAGACCAGCATTTTTGCAGAGGTTATGGGAGGAGGGAGGACTTGGCCACCAAGCGACAGGAGGAAAGAAGCTCTTGGGGAATGGCACTCTTCAGTACCTTGACTGTGGTTATGATTACATAATTCTATATATCAGTCAAATTTCAAGAATTGTACATGTTAACAGGTGAATCTCACTATGTCTAAAATTAAAATGCATTGAGAATTAAAGAGGCCCCTGGGTAGCCAGTCGGTTAAGTGTTCAACTCTCGATTTCGACTCAGGTCATGATCTCACAGTTACTGAGTTCGAGGCCCACATCAGGTTCTTCGCCAACCTGGTAGAGCCTGCTTGAGATTCTCTCTCTCTCTTTTTTTTCTCTCTGCCCTTTCCCTGCACACACACTCTCTCTCTTAAAAATAAATAAACAGAAAAAGAATTAAAAAACACAAGATACACTAAACTTCTGCAAAATTGCTAAAATTTTTAAAAGGCTGACAATACCAAATATTAACAAGAATGCGGAAGTACCAGAATTCTGAAATATTGTGGATAGGAGTAGTAAAGGTTAAAACCATTATGGAGAGTCGTGTAGCAATTCCTGCTAGTGTGAGACACGCAGTTACTCTTTGGCCTAATAATGACATTTTGGGGAGGGACTCTTTTTTCTCTTTTAGCAGTTTTTATGTCTATTTTGTTATTGAAGTATAGTTGACACACATTGTTATGTCAGTCTCACAAATATCCTTTTTTTATATACTCATGGGGGTGTTTTTTATATATATATATATACATATATATGTATATATGTATATATACATATGTATGTGTATATATGTATATACATATATATGTGTGTATATACATATATATATATAGTTTATATAGTATATAAACATGTCCATAAAAAGGTTTTACCTTCCTATTCATAGCCCAAACTTGAAAATCTCAAATGTCTATCAATAGGTGAATAAATAAAAGATTACAATATACCCATGAATGGCATAATACATAGTAATAAATGCATTATGAACTATAAATACGACTTGGATCAATTTCAAAATTATTGTGCTGAGTGAGAGAATACAGAAGACACAAAGTGTACATTTCTAGGAAATTCTCAAATTGGCATGAAGGGAACAGATCAATGGTTACCTGGGGCTGGAGATGGCTTGATGAGCTGCACAGAGGTGCCAGAAACCCAGTTGAGATGGTGGTTACGTTCACGTCCGGATTGTGGAGGTATACATTTGTCAGGATTCATAGAAAAGCGCACTTCAAGTAGTTATATTCCGTCTTATAAGAAGTACAAAGTTCATTAAAGAAACATAATGAGAACTCACAGATCTTCCCAGTCCATGAAAATGGTATAACTTTCTTTACTGTAAAACCAACTGCATTGGCTTCTCCATTATGTGCCACAATCGTACATTTTTAATAATCCAGAATAAGGTATGATTTCACTTATTGGAGACTCAATTCCTCACTTATCAGATAAGGTGCAAAAGTGTCTCTATGGTAGTAATGTTTATGGAACATATATTTAGATACTATTGTGTTTTGAAGATTTTACAAATGGTTGACGGCAAATGCTATTATATATGCATATTGTAAATAGAGACATCAAGGATTTGCCAGATGTATACTCCACAGAGTGAGATGGAAAAATACATGAGCAGAACCTAAAATTTTAATTGCAGCCGTATATTCATGCCACTCATGTTTTCTGGAATATTATGTGTTTTGAGCCAATTTCACCTTGAGAATCAGTTTTTACATGACGGGAAATGCTAATCTGTATGATGAGCAACCAAACATATTACTTCAGTCCACAAATGACTGTATAGACAGCATTCATGGAAAAGAGTGTCCACTGGCTCATGAACTTGTGTTCTCCCTTTTGTTTGACGTGAAGACGCTACATGGTTTTCCGTTTGGAGATGCCACTGAAACTTCATGTATCAGCATAATAGAAGCAAAAAACCAAAAATGGACCCATCCTTGAATATTTAGAAAATAACCGGCAGTAGGCCAGCAGAGACATTGCAAGGTCACACATGCCTGCAGCTGTGAACCTAACAGGGACAAAGTGAAAGCACAGCGTATCTGCAGAGGAAGTGGCGCCTTGGGTGGGGTCCCTGTTGCAGGATGGACCAGGTCAACCCCATGTGTCTTGTCTTCAGGTCCCCCAACACAGATGTTCACCAAGTATTTGGAGAATCCATCAGTGAATCAATGAAGGAATCCTGCCTTCACCTCACCGTGGCCCCCTTCTTTTCTTATGCCCCAGATGCTCACACACCTAAAGAATCCTCCACCTTGCAGGACTGACCACTCGGTCCAGACGAGGCTGTGACCCTCCAGCTGTAGACAAGAGTTGATTAGCTCCTTGGTGTAGACCATGCTGCTCAGACAAGCACCTCAGATGGGAGGATCTTAGGAGACTCACTGTGTCCCATGCCTCAGATGCTCTCAGAGGTCCTGGTCCAGGCTCCAGTGGTGGAGGGAAGAGTGGAGATGGGAGGCAGGATACAGGGTCTGTTCTTGGTCTCTCCTCCTGGGTGGGTCTCCCGGGTCTTGGACTGGGAGTGCGGGGGTCACAGGCTCTGTGCAGAGAGGGGGTGAGCTCCGCAGCGGCAGTTCCCCCTTTGTGAAATCGTGAGACCTCATGCTCCTCCCCAGCTTCCCGTGGGTCCTCCTCAGCTTCCCTCCCTCTGCCTTCCCTTCTTCACCCACAGGAAGCCCAGACACCCTCTGTCTCTAGATGCTGCTGCCACCGCTGCTGCTGCTCCTGCTATGGGCAGGTGAGTGGGCCGAGGGGAGAGGGAAGCTGGGGACTGCCGCTGACCCTGCCTTCTCCACAGGGTCCCAGGCTCAGGATGAAAGATACTGGCTGCAAGTGCAGGAGTCACTGACAGTGCAGGAGGGCCTGTGTGTATACGTGCCCTGCAAATTCTCCAAACCCACGAGCTACTTGCCTAACCCTGTTCATGGCTACTGGTTCCGGGGAAGGGCCCACATATATTTGGATGCTCCAGTGGCCACAAACAACCCAGATTGAAAAGTACAGAAGGAGACCCAGGACCGATTCCGCCTCCTTGGAGACCCTCGGGACCATGACTGCTCCCTGGACATCAGAGATGCACAGAGAAGGGACTCCGGGACGTACGTCTTTAGGGTGGAGACAGGGATTAATATAAGGTATAGTTACAAACAGAATCAGCTCTCTGTGCGTGTGACAGGTAAGGAGCACACTGCAGGGGAGGCCACAGGGGAAGGATAGGGGTCCCGGGACAACCTTGACAGAAGCCTGAGGCTTCTTTCAGGGCGGCACCTCAGACCCTCTTTCTGATCCCTGTGTCTCCCCCTCTCCTCACCAGCCCTCACCCACACACCTGACATCCTCATCCCTGAGACCTTGGAGTGTGGACACCCCAAGAACCTGACCTGCTCTGTGCCCTGGGCCTGTGAGCAGGGCACGCCCCCCATCTTCTCCTGGATGTCAGTGGCTCTCACCTCCCTGGGCCCCAGGACCCACCTCTCCTCAGTGCTCACCCTCACCCCACGGCCCCAGGACCATGGTACCAACCTCACCTGTCAGGTGAAGTTCCCTGCAGCTGGTGTGATGGTGGAAAGGACCGTCCAGCTCAGTGTCACCTGTGAGTGTAGGGCCAGGATGACCTGAGTGCCTGAGGGGGTGAGGGGCATGAAGTCCAGGTTCTGGATGCTGGTGCTTTAGTCCTGGAGGCCTGGCTGAGGAGGGGACCTCGAATGACTCAAGTCCTGTCCCTCCTGTGTTTCTGTGGCTTCTGGGGGTGGGAGGATGTCCACATGCATCTCACATCACCCTTCCTCACTAAAGAGGGAAATCCTGTCCTCCCATCCTAGGTGCCACACAGAACTCGACAGCTGATGTCTGCCTAGTGGATGACAAAGGTGGGAAGAAGCCTCCTGTCCACGGAGCACTGACTAGCAGTTTCTTTCAGAGCGGGACTTTCAGAGTCAGTGGGTAGATGTGTGGTGGGCTGTAGTTAGACATGAGAACCCCCCTCAGCCCTCCTCTCTCATCCCCTCCCACTCTGGTCTTGCCAGGGTGACCTGCTATTTTCTCCCTACCATCTTGAGTATACTCTTTATCTTCCTCCAGTCATTGAAGGCCTTGGGGCATTTTTAGGAGACTTTATTTTTAGAGGGAGGTGGGGAGTTTTAGGTTCATAACAAAATTGAGCTGAAGGTAGAGAGATTTCCCCCAAGCCCCTGCTTTTGTATGCATAGCCTCTCCACTCTCTGTGTCCCCCACCAGAGAATACCTTTGTCACAATCAAACCTACATGTAATTGCCTTTATCACCAAAAGTCCATAGTTGACATTAGGGTTCATTCTTGGTGTTGTGCATTCTATGGGTTGGACAATTCATAATGACATGTATCCATCTAGTGGTATCGTGCAGAGTAGTTTCACTGTCCCCAAATGTCTCCGGGACATTTTTTGACTGTGAATCCTCAGCTCTCACCTTGACCTCTCTCTGAGCCCAGGCTTTCCCTCACTGTTCTATTCCCATTGACAGTGACATCTGGTTCCCACCTGGACAGTGAGCTCCTTTTGGACTCTTTCAGTGCCCACCAAATGGTTGACAGGTGGTGCCCAGAGACACATCCCTCACCCTGAGTGTGTTAGGCTCACAGTATATATACTTGGCTGCTTCCACCCACTTCTGGAAGCATAAGAGACCACCTTTGGCCCTGAGACAGGGTCAGTGGAGGCCAGGAGAGGAGATTCAAACAGCTTCCCTGGAGAGAAGGAAGGACAAGATCTTTCCACATCCCACAGAGACATATGCTGTGTGCATATGTCTCTCTCTCTGGCACGCCCACGGGGCCCAGAGCCCCACGATCCTGCTGCAGACAGATCTGGGATCTGTTGCAGAGAAGAACCTGCGTCCTAGAAAAAATGGTAGTAGCTGAACAGGAGTGTGAGAGCTACATGGTATCACTCAGACCATGTCCTTCTGGTGGAGGCTGAGGTCCTACAGTGGGTGGGAGACCCTCAGAGCTGAACCCTGGATGGGAGGGGACGAGTACCCCTCTCAGTATGCTGGAGTTGTCAAGATTGGAGTTGACCCCAAGTGTCTCTGTCTACAGGGAACCTGGAGACCATGGCAGGAATGATTAAAGGTGCCATTTGGGGAGCTGGTGTCACCACGCTGCTTGCTCTCTGCCTCTGCCTCATCTTCTTTGGGTGAGCTGTGTTGATGTGGGCGAGAAGGGAAGAAGCGGGACCTGCAGGGGTTGTGAGGCCCTACAGCAAGGGCGAAAGGTGCAGTCATGGTAAGAATCCAGCTGATACCATTGGGCCAAGCATGAGTATGTTCCCAGCCCTGGTTCCAGAAGTCCAGGAGCCGGGGCACCTTGTTACAAAGTCTTGATATGAAGGCTTCTGGGCTCACTCCACCATTGACCTGCCATAGTAGCTCACTCCAGCCTCAAGAGAGGGACCCTATGTCAGAGACCCTGGTTCTCTCATCAGAGTGAAGACCTGTAGGAAGACAGCATCCCGGAGAGCAGCGGGCGTGGACGGCATCCACTCAGTTGTAGGGCCAGCTCCCCTGGTGAGTGATGTGGGCATTCTGGTGTGCAGATTCTCCTCTACATCTCCTGGGGTGGCGCACAGCCATGCTCCATTCAGCACATCCAGAAATGAGCTCATCACCTTCCTGCTTAGTTGAAAATGTAGGTTTTATTATTATTCAGTGTCTGAGGCCAACAGATCAAGAGGTGATTGCCACTGAAAAGGCACCCTGTTACTCAAGTTCCCAGGAAGAAGGACACATGATCACACATAAGACCACATGGACAGGGTTGAGGTCGACCAAAAGGCAGAGGGGGCATAGAGAGACACAGATGGGAGCCTTTATTGGAGTTTCCACAGGAAAGGCATGCTGAGAAGGGGTAAGTGAGTTTAAGATTGGCTAGTTTGAATCATTTCAGCAAGCTCTGGGGTGTTGGGGCCGTCCCTAGTTGCTTGGTACTTGGCCCTGGGGTGATTAGGCAGAAGAATAGTGACCCAGAATGTAAGAGCTGGATAAAGGAGGGTTTGGGTGTGAGATTTGGATGGGTTGGTTTGCATATGAAAGAGATGCTTGCAAGGCAAGTCCTTTAACATCTCTAGAGATTGGCTAGTCCTGGCAGGGGCAGTTCCTCTAGGATTAGCAGGGCCCCAGATGCCAAAGCATCACAAACATATGGTTAATATGCTCCTAAACATACTCTTCCTGCTGATCACTCACCTCCCTGATGGCACTTGTGTCCCTAATACCCTGCCAGCGACCCAACCCTGTCCCGCCCCAGCCCTGCACTTCTCACACCAATGTGCTGCAGGGTGTGCAGGCCTGTGCTTCTCCACAGTACAGCATAATGCATCCACTCCCTTTGAGCTGAGCTCCCCTCTTAGTCCTTACCCTGCTGCAGCCCTCCCCGCTTCTCCTCCCTGGCATGTTAGCATCACCTCCAGGCAGAACCCTTGTCCCACATGACCAAGTTTGAAAAGCACTGCATCTCCACACTGCTGCAAGTCGGGTGCCCACACAACTTGGTATGAGATTTGGGGCAGGAAACCCAAGGTCCCCTTCAATGCTTCTGTCTCTCTGACACCAGCCTGCTCACTCGCCTCAAGCATAGCGAGCGTTTTGCATCTCAGAATCATTGCTCCGCTGTGCTCACCTTCTCATGTGTCTATGTCAATCTGCCCTAGTCCTGCTCATCTCCAAGCTCTAATTTTCATTTATTCATTTAAAACTCTAAGGTGGACATCACTGAGGTTTCTGAGTACATGATCTGCAATCACCTTGCCTTCATTCATTCCTTTGCAAATATCTTCCACTTGTCAATTGTTCTGGATACTTGGGAAATATCTCTGTTTTTACAAATATGTATGTTACAAATATAAAATGTCCCTGCTGTCAAGGACTTACATTTATTGAGGGGTGTGTGTGTGGAGAAAACAGTGAACATACAGGTAGTGAAAATATGCAAGAAATTGTCAGGAAATAGTGCTATGGAGGGGCATTAGATGGAAGAATGAGAGGTGTCAGTCCTGGCACTGGAGTCTTTGAGAAGACACCCGCAGGAAGTGAGGGAGCACAGCGTGAACCCTGAGAGAATCACTATGGCTCTAAACAAGGTTTGGGGGTCCTGAGGTTGCGGCATGACTGGTGTGTGGGGAAAACAACAAGTTGGACAGTGTGTTTGAACAGAGCTGTGTGGGAGGGGGGCAGTGGGTAACGATGGGTAGGAAATGAAGATGGAGAGAGGCATGGGGGCTGCAGACATTACAAAGCCCTGCAGTTCACCATAATTACCTTTGTATTTTGAGAAGGCTGATAACGTAAAGGAAAACCACACAGAACTACTACTCATCCAAAATACCTAACTTCTAACTCTTTTGGTCTCTAAATGTGTGTGTGGTTTTCACCACACCAAATAATCCTCTCTGACACCATCTGGAGGTCCTACTGTACAACTCAACTCAATTCTGACACTATCTATCTGGAGCTAGCATCACATCCCACAGATAAGGGCTCAGCCCATAAGACAGCCCCACCGCCCTTAAGACACAAACCGCAAGCTCAAGTTGTCACTTGTGCTTCTAACCAACTGGCTATAAATCGGGTGTTCCCACGACCCCCTTCCTCGGTTTCAATTACTTTGTCAGAGAGGCCCACAGAACTCAGGAAAGCATTTTATTTACTGTGTACCAGTTTATTATAAAAGTATATGATGAAGGATACAGATGAACATCCAGATAGAAGAGATGTGTGGAGCTCCCAAGTTATTTCCAGGTATGCCACCCTCCACATATTTACCAACCCAGAAGCTGCCTAACAACCACCCCCATACTATTGGGATTTTTATGGACATAGACATGATTGATCATTACCTCTATTTCCCACCCCTCTCCCCTTCCTGGGGGATGAGGACATGGGGCTGGAAGTTCCAAGCTTCTAACCGCAGCTTTGTATTTCTGTGACCAGCCTCCATCCAGGAGCCAACCAAGATTTGCATCATTAGAACAAAAGACACTGCTGTTGTCCAGGAAATCCCAAGGGAGTTAGGAACTCTGTGTCAAGAACCAGGGTCAAAGACCAAACATTAGACCAGAAGATGCTCCTAGCACTCTTATCACTTAGGAAATTTAAAAGGGTCTTAGGAAATCTGTACAGGAACCAAGGGCAGATCTCTCTCTCTCTCTCTCTCTCTCTCTCTCTCTGTCTGTCTTCTGATACACATTTATCTTTTATTATTTCACAGACATGAACTGATGCTCATTTTAATGGGATCGCTCTGTCTGCTGTGCTGAGAATACCTATATCAGGCTAGGAAAAGAGGACACCAAATAGGAAGAAACTCAAGTAATCCAGGCAAGAGATAATGTAGGCTCCCATAACAAGATACTGCAGACTGAGTGTCTTAAACTACAGAAACATATATTTTGTTATGCTGGAAGTCCAAGATCAAGGTGATGGCAGGGTTAGTTTCTCCTGAAAACTCTCCCCTTGGCTTGCAGATTACTACCTTCTCTCTATGTCCTCACGTGGCCTTTTCTCTATGCACACACATCTCCAGGGTCTCTTCTTCTTATGAGGACGTAAGTCATTTTGGGCCCTATCTTAATGACCTCACTTAAACCTAATTACTTTTTTAAAAGCCCCATCCCCAAATACAGCGCACTGGGTGTTAGAGCTTCAACATATAAATCCAAGGAGACACAATTCAGTCCATAAGACATAGTCCAATGGGTAACAATGATGAATCAGGATTTGCTAATGGAATGGTAGAGTATGTGTGTGATGTGAGCAGAGATAGTTCACTGCCTCCACCACATGGATGTGATAAATGCCAAAAATGACTCCACAGATGCCATAAATATCCACAGGTGTCCATGCATGTCCAGACATGTTAATAGATGTCATAAATACCCATAGATGCCCATACATGTCCATAGATACCAAAGATGACTCTGATGTGGTTGCCTTGAGCAACATAAATAATTGAACCACCAATTCCTGAAATTGCCATCTCTGCAGGAGTATATTTCTCAGGGGGGTTCAAACTTTATTTTGGTTACTATAAGCTTCAGGTGCCTCTGAGATGTCCAAATGAAGAAGACAAGTTAGATGTCAAGGGTCTGGAGCTCAGGAGAGGGGTCCAGGTAGGAGGCACAGAGATTTGGGGAGCATACACATCAAGGTCTGATAGGGGATGAAGCCACAAGGAAGAGAAGAGGTCCACAGACAGAACCCTGGGAGAGACAGGGCTACAAGGTGAAAACAACAAGAAGACCACTGAGAAAAAAAAAAGAAATGACAAAAAGAGTGTAGATTTGGGTCCTGGTAGCCAAAGGGAGATGAAGTTTCAAGGAGAAGAGAACGCTTATTTGTTTCAAATGGTAGTAATCCCAGTAAGATCAGTTCTGAGAAATGACCATTTAAATTTAGCACATGGTGTCACAGTTAATCTTGAGAAAAGCAGATCTGGTTGCCCAGTGGAGGAAGTTTTCTTGATTGGAATGAGTTCAAGAGAAAATGGGAGGAGAGGAAGTGCAAATGCTCTTGAGAAATGTTGCCATAAATCTTGAGAAATTAATCTGCAACAGAAAATGGTCATACTTCTACATCCCTTGGAACCTTCTGGGTGATAGGAGCATCTTTTGTTCTAACAAGGTGACTCTGGGTGGGCTTCTGGATGAGCAGATCACAAGAAAGACCAAGCCATGATTAGAAGCTCAGTATTTTCATCCCCAATCCCCATTATCCAGAGAGGGGGGAGATGCTAGAAATGAAATTAGTGATCCATCATGTCTATATGATGAAGTCTCCATTAACATCCCAAAAGTATGGAGCTCAAGGAAGTTCCAAGTTGGAATCTTCCAACACGGAGATGCTAACAGTACATCTGGAGAGGGTGTGGAAGCTCCTGCCACTCCCCACCCCTACCTCACCCTAGGCACCTCTTCCATTTGGATGTTCATCTGTGTCTTTTATCACATCCTTTTATAATAAGCTGGTAAACAGCAAACTGCTTTCCTGAGTTCTATGAGCCACTCTAGCAAATTAATGAAACCTGAGATAGGTGTTATGGCAACCACGAATTTATAGCCAGTTGTCCAGAAGCACGGGTTACAACCTCGACTTCCTATTGGCAGGTGAATTGGGGGTGAGGTTAGCCTTGTAAGACTGAGCCCTTAATGTGTGGGATCCGGCATTATCTCTGGGTAGGGAGTGTCAGAATTGAAGTGAACTGCAGGCCACTCAGCTGGTGTTGGAGAATTGCTTGCTGTGGGGAAAACCCCACAAATCTGGTGTCAGAAGTGTTGTGGATGTAGGTAACAGTGTGAGAACAAAGGAGACATACCCAGAAGAAAAGTCAACTTTTCATAAACACCCTCCTGCATGTCCCATGCCAGAGTCACCAGGATTGAGTTCATGATCAACAGATGTGTGGCCCCGGGTAGCACCTAACCTCTCTGACAATTAGTTTCTCTCTATGTAAACTATTTTCCACATAGGTCTGAGTGAGTGCTCAGTAAAATTTGAGAGCAATCAGTAGTGTTATATTTGCTAAATAAGAAATGTTTGATAAAAGAGTGGAAGAAAGCAATGTCCTATCGAGTCAAATTCACTTCATGGACCCTCTCTGCCTTCTCACCTTACCCCCCACCCCCACCCCAAGAGCCCTGCTCTGAGCCCTTCTTTGCTCTCCACACAGGGTTACCAGCAGGAGTCTGAGCCAGAACTGCTTGCTGAGCCCACGAGCTCTGCAGGGGTGCCCCCCACCTTGGAAATGGAGGAGGAGCTGCATTATGCCTCCATCAGCTTTCACAAGATGAAGGAGAACACTGCACAGAATATTCAGAGGTCAATACAAAGTGACAAACCACCTGGAGCAAACAGCCTCAGAGGGAGCGTCCATATCCTCTAGGAAGGGGGACCCAAAGGCTGGTTCTTGGAGACTTAACATCCCCATAGGCAATGGACTTATAAACTACTATATGTGAGTTTCTTGCTGTATTGGAACTAAGGCTTTGCAATCAGAGAGGCCTGGCATGGATTCAAGGCTCTTTCATTTGTTAGCACTATGATGTCAGGCAAGCCACCTTACTCCTCCATGTCTCAGTTTTCTGCTTTACAAAATGGATGTAAGGGCTTCCATGAGGATTAAAGTGCATATGGAAAACACACAGCACAAATCCTGCTGCGTTGTGAGACTTTGGTGCACATTGGTTCTTTCCCCCTTGGACAGAAAGGTGTCAGTGACATTTCACTTAGAGGCTGGATATGTTCTGTCCCGGACACCACATCAGCAATGAGTCAGTCTCACTCTGTACTCGAAATCCTCCCATGTGGCAATCATTTTGCAATGTACACATATATCAAATCATTACATTGTACACTTTAAATTTACACAATGTAGGGGCACCTGGGTGGCTCAGTCGGTTAAGCGTCTGACTTCGGCTCAGGTCATGATCTCACAGATCATGAGTTTGAGCCCCACTTCGGACTCTGTGCTGACAGCTCAGAGCCTGGAGCCTTTTTCAGATTGGGACTGTTTCGGATTGTGTGTGTGTGTGTGTGTGTGTGTGTGTCTGCCCCTCCATGGCTTACACTGTCTCTCTCAAAAATAAGTAAACATTAAAAAATAAATAAATAAAATTACACAATGTTATGTGTCAATTATATCTTAATAAAGCTGGAAAAAATAAACTCTATATGCATACATAGTACTTAATGGTAAATATTACTGAATATTTATCAGACGAAGAAAACCCTCCCCATGGATCTCTTCCCTGACTTGGCCTCCAGCATCATCCCTCTCCCCTTCTGAGTCCTCCCTTTCCTTCCTGCCTGCTTCCTACTAGTCCTGTTAGAGGCAAAATCACATATTAACATTTACACAACCTCCTAAAAATCAGGGCTGACCACAGTCAAAATACCTCTCCATCTCCTCAGCCCCAAAGACTAATTTATAAGCCTCTAATTTGACTTTCCAGATCAGGGGGCAGGAATTTTTTTTTTCAGAGGGGCAGAGAGCATATATTTTAGGCTTTGCAAGCTGTATGGTCTCTGTAGCAACTATCCAACCCTGTGTTTATAGTGCAAATGCAGCCATAGACATGCTAGAAATGAATTAAAGTGGATGTGTTCCAACAAAATTTTATTTACAAAAGTAGGCAGCCCACTAGCTATAGTTTTCTGACCTCCATTACAGGTTGTTTTTTTTTAACTTTTATTTATTTTTGACAGAGTCCTATACAGAGACAGAGCTTGAGCAGGGGAGGGGCAGAGAGAGAAGGAGACACAGAATCCGAAGCAGGCTCCAGGCTCTGAGCTGTCAGCAGAGAGCCCAATGCGGGGCTTGAATTCACAAACCATGAGATCATGACCTGAGCCGAAGTTGGACGTTTAACCGACTGAGCCACCCAGGCACCCCAATTCCAGGTTGTTTTTAATGTTTCCCAGTCTATTTGTGCATCTCCATATCCTAGCTCAGCGATCCTTCCTATCATTCTCTAAGTGTTCCCATGCTTGTGCATTCCTCACCATCTTCTTGCATCCACATTTCTCCTCCAGGAAGACCCATCACTAGGTCATCATCTATTTGGCACCTTCTTATCCCCAAAATAAACTTAAAAAAAATAGATGTCAGGGTTGAGATGGTGAAGGCAAGCAGGAATTTTTAATCTTCCTCCTAAAAAAAAATGAACATTTTACTTAAAATAAAAATCATCTTGAATAAAACAGTCCCAAACCCCCCAGTAGCACCGAATCCATGTCAAGGATAAAGCATAATGCCATAAAATCATAAAGTAACACCTAAAAACAAATGGAGGATTTTGGTGTGGTGTGAAAAAAATGTCTGTGGCCTAACTCTCTCTGCCTTACATCCAGGAGGGACAGCTGAGTCAGACTTCTGTTTATGTTAATGTCAAGCTGGGTGACATGAGCCAACCATCTGTTGAAAACATTAAAAGTTAATGGTTAGATTTCCAACCCAGACAAGTTATCATCAACCCATCATTCCTCCCTCCACTCACAACTAAAAATCCTGTAAGTTGTGCAAGAACCAAAAGAGGATTCTGAAACATTGTGAGTACGAGGTGAATTGGCTTGGGACCCCAGGACTAGGGGAACAACACAGAGGCAGAACATCTCAGTCCCCACCCACCCACCCCCACCTATCAGAGGAAAGACACTCAGACCCATTGTTTCCCAAGTCCTGACTGAGAAACAGGAGGGAGCCAGGTAGGCTCATTTCTCTCCTGGATGGAAGGGGAGCTCTTCTGACAATCAGGCAGGACCACCACCACAAGGGGAATCAGTTAGAGCTGGAAACAAGTGTCCAGAAAATGCTTACCTTCCTCATCAGACTTGAGATATCTCCTGCTTAGAAACACTGAGGCAGATGGACAGAAAGGGACAAAGAGATCCAAGCATGCTGTCTAATACTTCTGACCCTGACGCTAAGTTCTCCTTTGTCAAATGTAAAGACTAGCTTCCTCACTTTCAGAAGGTGTGTGTGTGTGTGTGTGTGTGTGTGTGTGTGTGTGTGTGTGTGTGTGTGTGTGTGATGAAGTAAGCTATATTAAAGGAGCATACAGAGGCCAGTAAGCAGAGGGCCTTAGCAAGAAGGCTCAACCAAATGGGGCAGACAGACGTCATCCACAGGAGCAACAATGCCTGAGAGTGAACAGGAGGGGTCGTAGATGAAGGAGAGAGAGGCCAGCACCACTCACTCTTGACTGCTCCTCTGGCTCCATCCAACTCCACCCACTTGACCTCCTGGCCTTAAAGTGGAACATAAGCATCTGGGTCAAGCCCTTCTGCTGAGCGGGGAGGTACCGGAGCTCAAAATGCGACCCTGTTTCAGCACCACGGACAGCACCAGCTCCCCTGCCTAGGGCTCTCCAGGCGTCAGCGTCTCCTGGTGGACGGAGAGCGACCTCCCGGAGAGCCATTTATCAGCCCCCAGGGCAGAGTGGGAGGAGCCCAGGGAAGGGTCTGGTGACATCCTAGGTCAATGATGTTGGTCAGGTATGTCTGGGACCCCGTAGTGTGTGCTTCCCTCGTCAGACTCGGGCGCTTTGTCCCAAAAAGGTGTCAACCGGGGATTAGGTGCTGTCCTGAGGTGAGGTTTAGGCATGGGTGTCTCCAGTAATTAGATGGAATAATAAAGCCAGTCTTGGGAATTTCTGGCAAGAAAGTATTAATCACTCAAAGAGGAGGTCCTTATGGTATTTAGACCTGTTGTAAGACCTTGGGAGAAATAAGGTTTCTGTTTAATTTTGTAGCTGTCTTCCTACCAAGCCTGAATAACTTCAGAGATGCTTTTTTTTTTTTTCTTTCTCCATTTAAATTGTTTTCACTCTTTCAGTCTGGGGTGGGTTTTTCCTTTTTCCATGTTTCCTCACATTTCTGTCTGGGAGCCTCCTTGTCCCTCTTACGTGGTCTCAACCACTCCAAGGCTCGCACCTCAACTACTGCCCCGGCAACTCTTACAGTTACTAACCCAGGATGTCTTGAGCCCCAGAGCTGGGAAGTGGCAGGAAGCCTGGGTCCTGCCGATAGGGTTGGAAACAGGAACTTCATGCCTGCCCAAATCCCCTCATATGTTCCTCTTTCTGGTCCTCACCCTGCTCAGGAGTGCCCACATGGGAGCTGGCTTCCTCCCCTGTGGCCCCTCCAGGGTCTACTACACCAGGCAATCAGGCTCCTACCCAGGCAACCCCTTATCTGAGTCCCCCAAACACCAGAGCAAGGTTCACCACTATTCACCCACACAGCCAGCATTCTACAGGACACTCAGGTTTTCACAGGCAGAGTTGGAAACTTCTAGAAAAGATGAGAAGAACTGGAGATTATTTGCCTCTTAGGATAAGGTAAAGTCCTGGACATGGGAGTCCAAAGGAGGGGCCAGACATGGGGGCACTTAATCATTGTCTCCCAAACCTTTCTCTCCACCCCTCACCCACGTCTGCACAATAAGGAGGCACTTTGCTGATTTCTCTCTGCCCCTGAACACACACACAAATGAATAAACTTTTGTTCACCTGTCACTTCTGGTCTCCCAAACTACTCCCTATGGTTGTGAGTGAGTAGATGCAAGGAGAGGAAAGTCATTTTTTATGTCATCTTCTTCACCAAAATTGAAGCTATACCTTTTGCAAGATTCTACTACTTGTGTGTTTACCTTTATATAAATATTGCCACTTGACACATATTTATCACCTCCTATAGAATTTGTCATTACAGGGTGCAAACCAAGTCTACAATTGCTTGTGAGAAATGCACATTCTTGCTCCCAAGGACTCACTTTCTATCTTGGGAACAGAAATACACAGTCAAGGAAATTCATCTTCTCACCTGCTTTCTGCCCACCTCCAATCTGTTCTCCACAGAGAAGCCAGAGAGAATTCTAAAAGCCCAAGTGTCATTTCCAGCTTCTAACCCTCCATTGGCTCCCAGTTGCCCAAGTGGAAATAGCAAAATCCTTTAAGATGAGCTCAAGCTGTTACATGGACCACCTTACTTGGCTCAGGGCGGGCAGGGACCAGTTTCTAATGCCTACAGCACACCATAAGCCAACAGCCAACACATGCACAGAAGCCCAGACTAATTTATTTATTCTATCAAAGAATAAAAAATTTTAAAAAATATTTATTTATTTTGGGGAAAGTACAAGCTGGGGGAGGGGTAAAGAGAGGGGAACAGAGGATCTGAAGTGGGCCCCACACTGACAGGCTGACAGCAGGCAGCCTGATGTGGGGCTTGAACCCACGAACTGTGAGATCATGCCCTGAGCTGAAGTTGGACACTCAAACGACTGAGCCACCCAGGCACCCCAAAGAATAACATTTTTAAAGGCAACATCATGACCCGCACATAGATATAAAATAAACATGTGTTAAAGATTTTTTCAGCACTAGGTGTTGTATGTAAGTGATGAATCACTAAATTCTACACCTGAAACCCATATTGCACTGTGTGTTAACTAACTAAAATTTAAATTTAAAAAAAGAGATTTTTTATTTTGGCAAAAAAAAACCCCACACACACTATCAGATCTAACCTCTTAACAAAATTTTAAGCGTACATTAGTGTTAATTGTAGTCACTATGTTGTAGAACTTTTTTACCTTGCATGATTGAAACTTTATACCCACTGAACAGCATTTTATTTAATTCATTATGAA